CTGTACAGGTTCCAAACGAGCACAATGAAGTATTCTGGAATTCCCATTTTCCTCAGTGTTACCCATTATTGGTTATGAACCACACAGCCAAATATCTGTGCATAATCAATAAAACATAAACCTGTAATCAGTGTCTTACAAAACATTAAAAATGTTAAACATTTAGAAATGCTTAAACATCTTATATTGAGTCAACAGGAAATAGAAAATCTCAGAAAACTCATTAATAAATGGAGAGCCTTGATAGATAATCAAAAGTTGGTCTCTTTCCACAAAAAGCCTCAGAAAAAGATGGCTTCATTAGAGAATTCTACCAAACATGTATAGGAGTGATCCCATTCTTCTTAAACTTTCCAAATTTTAGAAGAAGAGGGAATACTTTCTCCCTCATTTTATGAGACTAGCATGTCTCTGATACAAAAGTCAGATAAAGACAGCACACATGCATGCCCTAGAATAATCAATCACCCACTTGAGATCAAAAGGTAGCATCTGTCCAAGGGCAAAGTTCAGAAGGAGGAATGGAAACACAGGGAAGATATGGGCTAAAAGATGTTACATCTTGAGAATTGCAATCAGTGATATGAAACAAAATATGAACAAACTGTTAAATTGAAAACTGTTCTGCTTTCTAAGCATTGCCAAATTTATAATATAAAAGAAAGCTACAGAGCAATACCCCTTATGACTATAGATGCAAACAGGTTCTCTAAAATACTAACAATTCTAATCCAAGAATATATTCATTGGATTATGCTTTATGAACAAGTGAGATTTATCCCAAGAATGCAAGGGTGGTTCAACATTTTATAAAAACCAATCTGTGTAACATACCACATTAATAGAATGCATGAGAATAACCACCTTGAGATGACCTCAGAGAAGGCACGGACAAAATCCAACTCCTTTTCCTGAGAAAAGCATAAACAATCTAAGAATACAAAATGAGTTACGATCTAGGAATTCAAAATAAATTACTCAGTGTGAAAAGGGGCAATTATGATAATCCCATGTTTAAGGGGAGTGTTCTAAAATTAATATGGTAATGATTGTACAATTCTCCTTGCTATGACTGAACGATTGAGCTATTGAAGTGTATGCTATATATATCATATGCCAATTGAACCATTAAAAAAATCCCATAATCAACATCATATTCAATGAAGGAAAACAGGATTTCCCCTTTAATATCAGGAACAAAACAAGAATGTC